GGCGGGTGCGGTGGCAGGGGCGGACGGCTGTGACGGGGATGGGGTGTGCTCATGTTTCAGGTGGGCAGAGAACTGTGTGCTAACAGTATCGAACCCGAAACCACACCGTCAATCTCCAGGCGCAAATTTGTCCAAACGCGATGTAATCATGTGTGCACACACCCCATTCCTTATGGCTTAAACCTGCGGCCCGCGCCCCAGGCCTGGAGAAGGACATCGCGGGTCTGAAGCGTGAGATCCGCGAGCGCGACGACACCATAGGCGACAAGGAGCGCCGCATCTACGAGCTCAAGAAGAAGAACCAGGTGGGCAGCAGGGCTTGCGTGGTAAAACCCTGAGGAGGCGGCGGCAAGGCGGTGCGAGAAACCGCTGGACCCCTTGGCCCCTGGCCTGCTAAACCCTTGAACGCAGCCCTGCCACACCCCCAAGCGCCTGCCCCGCTAAAACCCCTGGACCGCAGGAGCTGGAGAAGTTCAAGTTTGTGCTGGACTTCAAGATCAAGGAGCTGAAGAAGCAGGTGACCAGGGTTTATGGCAGCCCAGCCACAATTGAGCTGGATCTTGGCCCCTTGTTCGCAAGGGTGATGATTTGCTTGATTGCGCTCGAGCCTTGAAGACTGCACCCCTCAAACCACGCAATCTTGCCGCCAGAAGCGAGCAGCAACACTCAACAGGGTCAGTGCGCGGGCCCGAGAGGGATCCAGCGGTCGCTCCACTTGCGTCGCACCGTGGAGCTACCGTCTGTGTTGCACGATGCATGTCCTCCCTCCTAATCCCCTCCTGCCGATGCGGCGCGCAGATCGAGCCCCGCGAGATGGAGATTGGCAATATGCGGCAGGTGCGGGCAGCCGAGTGCCCACAAGGACTTGTGATCTTTATTCAAACCCTGGAGATGCTGCCTGGGCGGCCATGCTTGGTTGGGCTTGAGCTGCTCGGCGCGCACCAGGAAGCGTGGAAGTTTCGACTGCGCTGGTTTGCACACACCCTCTTAACACCACTGTTATGTCTTCGCTGTCATCGTATCGCGCCTCAGATCGTGTCTGCTATGGACGCTGAGCTGGAGCGCTACCACAAGAGCAACGCCGGCCTCGACCTCGCAATACAGGCGCGCGAACACGCGCGCACATCCGCCGCGGGGCCCCGCGGGCCGGGGCCCCGCGGGTGCGCGCCATTGACCAGCGTTGGTTGACTGCGAGCGCATCGACTTGTCGGACGTCGGCGCCAAAAAAGGCTTCCTGTTGATTGGCTGCAGAGGAAGGGGTTCTCGCTGAATCTCGCCCTGCAGCCTCTCCGGTACCCTGGCAAGCGCGCGCAACATACCCCTTCCGTCTTCCCCCTCCCCCCTGGCAGTCCCTGAAGCTCAAAGAGACGGGGCTGCAGTCCGAGGTGCTGCAGCAGCGCGGCACCAAGTCGGAGCTCGCGGCGCGGCTCGACAGGGTGGGTAGCACCGGGCGGCCTGCCGCCCGCGCGGGGCCGCTCGCGCGTCGCTGGCCGCCCTGGGAGTCACGCGGGCCGCTCCCGTTTTCATCTTGGACCCTTGGCTGGCTCGTGCAATGCCAGGCTCTCTGTTGGAAGTCATTTTGCGTGGTCCATACTCCCAGGTGATACGCGACATCGCTGAGCTGGCGCCCGTGATCCAGGACCCCAAGGCCCTCAAGGACAAGGTGGGCCCGGCGCAATGGGCGGCGGCTGCCGAGGCGGGGGGCTGGACAGAAGCAGCTGGCTGGGTGGTCGGGTTGTTGGGGGGGATGATGCTATGACCTGATACTGCAGCGGTTGACAAAGGCCCCAAGATCACGCACGCCGGGGCTTGCTAGCATCCTTCCGAGCCAATCATCGGCGGATGCGTTTCATTGGGTAACACCACGCTGCCCGCGACTCACCCTGACGGCGCGCCTCGCCAATCCTATCCGCGCGCCGCAGGCCAAGGGGCTGTTCCAGCGCCACTGCAGCTCGATGGCGCCCGCGGACGCGCCCGACGACGCGGTGGCCTCCGAGCACGCGCGGCAGCGCCAGGTGCGCACGGCGCCACGGGTAGCCCGCCCCCCGCCCGAGCTTTAAGCCGGCATCCCCCAACGCTCCGCCATAACGCCCAGCCCCAGACGCAACAAGCGCCCCCCTCCGACGGCGCATGCAAAGCATCGATTGACCCAACGCCCTCCCCCTTTTCCCGTGCGATGCCTGTCGTGCCCACAGTACCTGGAGCGGACCGTGGATGGCCTCAAGAAGAAGATGGCGGTGGATGCAGAGGCACACAGGTGCAGGGCGGTTGAACGGATGTGCCAAATGGTAGTCTAGTGGCTGCTATGGTGGCCTTGCTTACAGGGGGGTGTTGAGGCAATAGAGGGCAGCAGCTGGCCTTGAGGTTGCGCTGGATGGCACGGCAGTGACAGGCGTCCCCCCGGGCGCGGACCCGGCCACAGCAGTGGTACGTGCAAGTTCAACTGCACAAACAAGGCTCGCGCGCGTGAACGCGCGCACAAGCACGCATGGCCACGCGTGCAACCCCTCCCCCCCCCCACAACACACACACACACACACACACACTCTTCAACCCACATTCACACATACACACATACACCCATGCACACTCGCCCACTTCTACACGTACACAGGCTGGAGGGCCTCCATGTGATGAGCCAGAATGTGGCACTGATACGTGAGATCAACGAGCTGAGGAGGGAGATCAAGGTACGGCCCAGGACGCAGGATTTGGAACATAGTGATGAACTGTTTATATCAATCAACATATCAATGAACATATCATGAAAGCTTGTTTTTCTTTCCATTGTGTGAGGGGCAAGGCATTGGTGGGCAAGGGGGAGGGCAGCCACCCCAGAGTGTTTTGCACACACCTGTTGGTTGCTGACCGGCTTCTGCTGGATTCTCCTGGGCCCCAATAACAGCACCTCCTACCCACCCCTGGCCCTCACAAACGCCCGCAGGTCCTCAAGTCACCCGCAGCCACGGCACAGCGGGGCGGCCCCCGCGGCTCCCTCGCCTCACTCTCGTCCTCTTATGCTGGCGCAAGCGGGGCTGCCGTTAAGCAGCGCGTGCCCGCCGCGGCGGCTACGGCGACTGGCAGTCAGGTGGCGGGTGCGGGCAGTACAAGCAATCGCTCCACAGGCAGCTTGAAACTGCAGCAGCAGCAGCAGCAGCAGCAGCAGCAGCAGCAGCAGCAGCAGCAGCAGCAGCAGCAGCAGGCAGGCGCAGCCTCAGCTCGGAGTGGCCAGGCCCCGGGACCCGCGACGGCGGGGGCCGAAGCGGAGGCGGCGGGCATGAGGCGGGAGCTGCAGCTGCAGGCCGCGCTGATCGAGCGGTTGAGGGGCGAGCTGGAGGCACGGGGCGGCCCGACTGCCACCACGAGGTGCGTTGCAGCGCTGGCGTTTTGCTGCCCGCCTCTTTGGGCGGGATCAGTTCGGCGTTCAAGGATTTGAAGCAAGGGGATGACTCGAGGGCTTGTGTTATTGCGCCTCTACGTATCGGCGGTGCATGACACTGCGCATGCTGTTTGCAACGCGTAGGCCCGCGGCGAGCGCTGGCGGCGAGGGTGGCATCGAGGATGGGCCAGAAGGTCCCCCGTCCGCTGCGCGGGTCGAGGTTGCAGGCGGGGTGCTGGGTGGTGCGGGTGACGCGGGTGACGCGCTTGACGGGCGTGCCGCCGGCGGCAACTCCCCTGTGCAAGCGGGGTGGGATGACGGTGCCGCGGGCGGAGCGGAGGCCGGGGAGCCGCATGAGCTTGGGCAGGAGGCGGCAGTCGCAGGGGCGGAGGCTGTCGAGGCGGGGTGAAGATGCGGGAGCGACTGAGCCCATCTGGTTGCGTGATGTACGCCCTCCTGTGTTTGGCCTTGCCACCGACTCCTGCGGATGTGGACAGGTAATTGGTGCTGGCTTGCTCAGGCCTGACGTCTACCTCCCAGGCCCTAGCCGGGCTTCTTGTCTATGCAATCAAGTTGTCTGGTCAACGCGACAAGACCACGTCCGGTGCAAGCAGTAGTAGCTACCACGTTCAAGGAGGCCTGCCGGTTGCAGGTTGCACCCAGCACACAGCGATTGACTAGCCCGTGAGCATGGAGCAACGCTGTCGCAATGCGCGTGCAGGCCGCTGACAGCCCAAAGCTCATGCGACACAATGAGTATCGCGCTCGAGCAGACCAGGGCGCTCATTGGCAATCCAGCTTCTCGTAGAGCTGTTGGGAGCTTGGGACTTGCCAAACTTCCTGCCCATACGGGTTACACTTGCGGCTTTCATGACTGAAACACGTACTAAAATTAACACACTCTAATTTGCGCTACGCCAACCCATTTGGGCGAGTGTCACCCGTTCGGAGATCTTGGCGGCAAGCACGGCCACAGTTGCAACTCATTGGAATAAATAAAATCAAACTTCCAATTGGCAGTGGCCGAGTCCTCGCAGCGTGGACAGTTCACGCTTGGTGAGAAACACCCGTGCGGCAGACTGTTGGGCCTCAATCGTCAGCAATCACCTGATTGCAATAGACTAGAAAGAAACCAATCTCACTAACTCGCGCACCCCTGGTTAAGGTGCTGCGCGGCGCTGCGGCGGCGCACCGTTAGCTTGGGACATGGCGCCGCAGCTGGGGTGGGCGGTGGTGCCCCTATTGATGACGGCGCTCTTCGCTGTCGCCACCGCAGCGTGAGTGCATCCAAGCAGATGTTCAGGGTGCATAGGTGCCGGGGCCACCCATGGTCATCAACGCCGGCACGGGAGCAGACAAACTCTCACCCGGGCTCCATAGCTGGATGGCTTTGGATGCGGCATGGATGGGGCGCCGGGCAATGCCTCGGACGGCTTTACAGCAACGCCTTGGGACCGCCACAGCAGCGCCCCACGGCTGCTCTCACCGACCCTCTTGATTATCAATCGCGTCAAGTGCCACGCACACAACTCCTGCGTGCATACCACTCGCCTTGCACGAGCACGCATGTCCCCCCATCACCGACCCACCACACCGGTCGCCTGGCACGGCCCCCCCGGGCTGAAACCTCCTCCTCATCCCCACGCACCCCATAATGCCCACAGCCGTGCGTCGTCTGAGATTTCCCAGAGTGCCATAATCACGTCGCTGTATGACATCGAGCACCCAGAAGTGGATGGGAAGCTGACGCGGTGCGAGTCCATCGTCCAGAAAAGCAAGGCGACGGGTGCCAAGAACATGGGTATCGTCTTGACAATCGCAGCTCAGGTGTGTGTGGGGTGTGAATGATGGAGTGGGTTGAGGCGCAGACGCTGTATGTGGGCAGAGGGGACAGAGAAAGCGAAACCGAGAGAGAGAGAGAGAGAGAGAGAGAGAGAGAGAGAGAGAGAGAGAGTGTGTGTGTGTGTGTGTGTGTGTGTATGTGAGTGTGTGGCAGTGTGCGCACGTTTGACGTGCACTCACATGTGATGCGTGCATGTGTGCTTTTGTGAGGGTATGATGGCACTATCGGCGCAATCAGTAGGTTGTGCGGGAGCACAAGGGGGCTGAGGGGGCCTGCCAACGTTAGGCAGGTCCCAGTCAGCTCTCTTCCGACACGAGACGAAGCTGCGGCACTCATCTGCAAGGGCTGCCCATAATGCCGCAGTTTGCGGAAAAGGCCACGCAGTAGCGGCCAGCGGAGCGGCGGCGCCACCTGCTTGTTGATTCTGGGCGCAGCTGCCTGATCACCCACCACGACTTGGCCCCTTGCCTTCTAAACCGCTGCTCCCAGGGCTCTGAGAAGAGCGTGGGATTCTACCAGTATCAGGACGGCATGGGGGGGTATGTGGCTGTGTCCAAGGACTCGATCAGCCGGTGGCGCAAGGGCCTGGAGAAGTGCTTCAGGATGGCGGTGCAGTCAGGTTGGTGGGCGGGCAGGGAGCCAGGGTGGTAGGGGCTGCTGCAAGCAATATTGAGGGTGACGTGGGGGAACGCAGTCGACAGTGTGGGGGTAGGGGATGAATGTTGCATGTGGGCATGCATGTGGGCGCCGTGGAGGAGTTGTTCTGCGTGTGTCCCCAAGTCCTGCTGATGTGCCAGATAATCAACACAAGCGCGTACACACACACACATACACACGCGCGTATCCAAACACACACTCTGTCTCTCCCTCCCTCTATATCTCCCTCTTTTTGTGACTCATGCGCACGCACACACACACACACACACACACACACACACATGCACACACACACACCCAATTCAAGTACACGAAAATCCAATTCCCGCTCCACCAGGCTTCACCAAGATCCACCTGCTGCCCCACATCGACGTCTACGAGGTCAACAAGGCCGGCAAGCAGTCCAACAGCCTCTGGCGCAACATAGTCCGCTTTGACCCCCTAGTGAAGCACGGCACCGCGCCGGCCGCTTTCAGCTACGAGGACATGCTGCTCACGCCGGCCGTCGAGGCGCTGAAAGCGGTGCTGACGCCGGCCGTCACGGTCGAGTTTGCGCTGGCGGGGGAGCAGGGGCTGTCGGTGTTTGGGTACCCGAGGAGCTGGGAGGTGCTGTTGGAGAGGACGCGGACGGCGCTGGCGAACCACGGGTCGAGGAAGCACACCTACGGCGTCAGCTTCAACTGGAGTGAGCAGACACGCGAGTGCGGGCGGGCGCACATCACGATGCATGCGTGCATGCGCACGTGCCTCAGTGTCCGTTTATGAGTATGTGTGTGTGCATGCACATGTGCGTGTGAGAGTATGTGTTTCAGTGTGAGTGAATGTGCGTATGTATTTATGAGTTTGTGTGTATGTGTTTGTGTGTGTGTGTGTGTGTTGGAATCACCTGATGAGGCTTGCATGTGCCTTGCACCAGGAAATCGTATATTGATAACAAGGTGACCCCTGCACCCTGCTCCTTGGCCGTCCATCGCTGGCTGCCTTTTTTTACCCCTTCCATTTCGGTCCGCGCCGCGCCGCATGGCAACGCCTGCAGACAAGGTCTGCGGCTGCGTCGAGCCGCGGGAGCGCGACCCGCTTATATACAACCGCACCTACACGCAGCGCCTCGCGCGCTGGCGGGCCGACAAGACGGGCGACAAGCTTATGGGCCCATCCGTGATTGACGTGCAGGGCGCCAAAAGGCTGCTGCAGAAGTCAGGTGGCCGGAAGCTCCCACTTTCGGAGCTTTTTTGGCGGATTCGGGGTGTTGGTCTTGGGACGATCTTGAACTTGCACACGCCAAGTTGTGTTTGTGCCCTTGAGCACTGGACTTGTCACGGCCCCTGCTGCCAATTCTGGACGATCGTCCGCTTCACACCTGGAATCTGAGCTGCAAGTGCCTGTACCACCCGCAGATTTTGTGGGCATATCCGGCTACGCGCCGCTCCTCCGCCCGCTGTCTTTCGAGGCGCTGGAGATATCCTGGGAGACTGCGGGGTACGAGTTTGAGCTGTTTGGCATCTCGCTGAAGGACCTGGCAAAGGCGGGCAAGAAGCTGGTGTTCAGGTGGGGGGTCAGGGCAAGGCTGATTTGCGTGCACATTTGGGCATGCTGGCATCATCGATGTTTAAACTCGTGTGTGTGTGTGTGTGTGAGTGTGTGTGCAGCGCTGTGTGGATGTGTGTTGTGTGTGTGTGTGTGTCATGTGCATGTGCATGTGCATGTGCATGTGCATGTGTGTGTGTATGAGCATGTGCATGTGTGTGTGTATGAGCATAGTGCTCAATACAAGCCACAGACAAGGGATGCATTGCGCAGACTGATGTTGATCGCAGGCAGCAGAGTCTTGTGCAGAAATAGAAGGCTTTTTTGCACCTCACATCCAGCACTGATCCCAGCCCAACGCCGCGTGCGCGGCTCACCGACCAGGCGTCCCCCCTTCAAAGGTAAACAACATCCGCACTCCCCACCACCGTGCTCTCGCGCCTGCAGCGAACACGGGCTTGGCGGCTGCTACTGGGATTTCTCTGTGGCCCCCAGCCTGGATTTCATGAAAAACCACCCCTGGCTCGGCTACTGGCCAAACCCAGGTGAGGCGGAGGTGTCCAATTCATCCCATGGCCATGCAAGCTGCCAGCTTCCAGTGGAAGGGGAAGGACGGGAGCTCCTGTGTTAACCTTGCCTAATTTGGTGGGTACGCATGTGCTCTTGAGTGTGTGTGCATGGGTGGGCGGGTACAGGACCGCGCCAGGCAAAGGCTGCCAGGCCCTGGGAAGTGAGCATCACCACTGAATGTGCGCTGATGGGATCCAAATTGAATCACCGCGCAATCAGGGTGGACCAAATCGACAGACCCCTGGGTCAAGCCGGACTACAAGTGAGGAGGGCGCAACCCCCATGCACGTTGCTTGCTCCTGCGGGCATCCGGAGAAGCGGGCGGGAAGTGGTTGGTGAAGCGGCTGGCGCGGCTGTTAGGCCCCGCACGATCGTGCACGCCCTGCCCGTCTCTGTAAGCACGCTGACAGGGCGGCAGACCCAGCTGGCGGCTTGCTGAGTGCCCGCCACCCCAATCGCCCTGCTCATACCTGACAACCGGCGCGCCGCCTTCGCCCCTATCTATGCAGGAAGTACCGCAATGACTTTTACAACACTGTTATCCGTGAGTCACTCTTGAGTAGTCTGGTGGCGACTGCCGCTCTCAAGCAAGACGCTCTGATCCTTACAAGGCTGCTGTCAGTCTCGGGGCTTTTGCGCTTGCTCACGCTGCGGGGCTTTGAGACGGATCCGCTGATCGCAGGCTCTGCACTCGTGCTGACCCCACATCGCGCCGCAAATCGTGCAGGCTGGGCACAGACGGGCGGCGGGCCGCAGTACCAAATCGACGGCATCTACACCTGGTGAGCGCGGCGCCGGGGACGAAACCAACGGCTCGGACAGAGGACCCTCTGTACAAACATTCAATTTCTTGGCTCATACGTACATCAGCACGCCACTTGCAAGGGACTTCAAATCCACGTTGGGCTGGTCAGGGCCATTATCTGATGCGGAACCGCCGCAGCCGCCCTGGCTCCGTGCTGAAACGCGCGCCTCGCCAACACCACCACATCCCTGCAGGAGCGTGGGCAGCTTCGACGTGACCAACGTCCACCCGGTCACAACCAACGCAAACGGCACCTACTCCGACCCTGCGATTGCCGCCGCGATCCGCAAGTCGAACTTGCTGATCAACTCAGGTGCCCTGGCGCCCAGGCCGGTTTACGGGGCTCTTAAGGTGTGCTCGGGCAGGTTGGAAGCGTGTGTGTGCGTTAAATCGCACTCACCCACGCACCTCCAGCACTACACAAGAATACGCGTGTGTGCACCAACCTGCAGTCCACCCATGAAACACACCACGCATGAAGTCATCCTGCTCTCGTCATGAAACCCGCTCACATTGCGAATGGAATCCTTTTCCAGGCGCTTCGAAGGGATTTCAAGCTGTTCTCAAAGCTGGCTGACGCCTCTGGCGTCTCCCCTGTGCTCAACGCCACTGTTTTGCGCGCGACCATATTCGCGCCGACAGACGAGGTGCACATGCAGCAGCGTATTTGGCAGTCGTGCCGCGGGCTGAATCGCAAATGTTTTTCCACCTGGTGTTGCAGGGTGCGGTGGCAATGCTGTAATACGGATGCTTGCTGTCCCCTTCCCCCCCTTCCTGCTTTCTGCCGTTGGATGTCGTCGACCTGGCCACTGTGCAGCCCCCAACCGCCCCGCTGTGCCGTCCCCCTCACCCGCCCGTACGCCTTGCCCCCTGTCGCGGCCCGCACCCTCCTCTGCGCAAACCCCAGGCGATCCAAGCTCTGGCAGCCAGGTTCCAAGTCACCCTTGACCAGCTGCTGTCAAACGAGCTGCTGGTTGACCGCCTGGTGGCTTACCACATCATCACTCGCGCCAACCTCGGGTCAAAAGATCTGACCGCCAACAAGGAGCTGGTGAGCCGTTGTGTTCAGTCGTCTGTGTCGCATCGGTGGTGATTCAATGCGTACATTATTGTTGGGTATTTGGGATGATCGCGTGCGTACGTGTGAGTGGATGAGAGAGGGGTCCTACATCTTAGTGCACGCGTGCGTGCTTGGGTCAATGGCCTGGCGCCATACTCGGCGCGTCTACCGGGCGGACATCGCAGCCTGTCATTGCGCTTTGTGCCGCGTCGCCCGCACGTATGGCTCGCCCGGCTCGTGATTTTGAGGGCAATTGTTCTTTCGCTTCGGCCATCCCTCATCATGTGCGATCCCGCAGACGCCAGTAAAAGGCGGCCCGATCAGAGTTGCCAAGGCAGCAGGGGGCGGCACTGTCCTCAAGGGGGTGCAGGTGCGGCGGGGCCACCGCTTGCTTGCACCTGTCCCTGCGCACCGCTCCAGCTGCAAGTCTGCTCAATTCAGGCGCTGGAATGGGTCAAGATGTCCCATCTGGCGTCGCCGGGGGCGCAGGGGGCCATCTTTGCGGCGACAAGCACTGGAGGCCTGCCCGCATGGGGTCAGGGCCCTTTGTGACAAAGGGCAGATTAGCACACGTGCTAGCCAATTCAAGAATTACTCGTGCCCCATAAAAACGCCACCGGCCCTACCTGCAGAATTCCGCCAACATTTCGGGGCCTGAGGTCGTTGCTGCCAACACAACCATTGTTCCAATCGACGCAGTGCTGCTGCCTGCCGAGGTGCGTCCCCTTCATCCCCTCCCCCCTAAAACAAGTAAAAGCCAACCACCCAGCGGACACTGTTCCTGTTGTAGAGGTTGAGTATGGACTTAACACCAGGTTGCCCGTGCCAGGCCCGCCCCGTGGCGGCTTGACCAGGCCCGGGTGTGTCCCCAACCTCCGTTCGCATCGCTCCCACCAGTAATCTTGTGTGCCCCCCCCCCCCCC